ACCTCATCTGGCTTGCCATCTAGCTCCAAAGTATCCTCCAAATTCTGCGCGTTCAGCGCATCCAAAACCTCGCATCTCCATAATCCAAAGTTGTTTGTGCCATTAAATTTCTCCACATCTATCTTCATAGAGTGGATATTCAAACTCTGAATAGTCTTCACGCCAGAAGAACCACCCTCGACTCCCGAAGCACCTTCTTTCCCCGACATCTTACGCACCAACGAACAAAGAATAGATCCAAAACTGAAAGATAGAGTCTTTACCAAAAGATCCCACCTTTATCACCAACGAAGTCCTAAACGGGCCTCCAAATTGATCTACTCCTCCAACCAAACCCTAGATCTGGAATCTGGGCTCTGATACCACTTGTTGTGCGCAGCGAAAATTTCGGCAGAGTTTCTGGTGCACAATAAGAGAGAAAGATCGATATAAGAATTCTCGTCTCACCAAGGAGACTAGAATCTGAAGCGGATATCTCAACCAAGTGAGATATCGGCTCTTCCTCTCATCAGTTCTAGGATTGACCTGTGGAGGGATCCTAAAACTATTACAATGGCCACAAACTCAAACAATCAATTTTACGTGGTTCGGCAAACTGCCTACGTCCACGGGGCAAGGAGGGGGATCTACTATTAGAGAGAAAAAGAATACAAATAGGTTTACAACTCTCACAATCTAAACCCTCAAATAGGCTCCTTGCTTTTCTTCACAAGAAAAGGTCAGCCTCCAAATACTTTTTCTCTCTTCACAAAACCCAAGACAGATACCTCTCTTTCTCAGCCGACTTTCTCCCTCTCTCTGCACTATAGCCGCCCTTGAATTATACCTCTGCCTTGGTCCGTAGCCGCCCACAAAACTCCAGCCTTGGAACTTGCACCTCAATTTTCTCCTCTGCCAAAAACACGCCGCACAAGTCCAAACTCCTTGCACGCCCATCGAAACCCTAGGAAGACCGTGTATTTATAAGCATGAATTGAGTTTTCGGGTGGGCTTTCACTTTGTCCGCTGGACAAAACCGAAATCTTCACGGAATTGCTTTCACGTGCATTTTGTGGTCCCCACATGAAACCTTGCACTTCACGTCCCTATCATCACACGTTTTCATCTCCGCTTAATTCACGTGGGTTGGCCCACCACTTCTCTTCACACCTTTTTTCTCCTATGGTGAAAATAACAAATAAGTAACTAAAATTTATGGCATTACATGGACAATGTGAAATCAGAAATCGTTTCTGAAATATTGTTATCAAGCATAAAATGATAGAAAATTAACTGTTAATCAGAAAAGAGTTCAAGAAAAGCCCTAATTTTCCCCTGTGATACCTAAATTAGGATATTTAGTTCACATGGGATTATGACATAATTAGGATGTTTGAAGTTGAATTAGAATATAATTAGGTTATTAAGAAAATTAAGATATTTAGTTTACATGGGATTATGATATAATTAGGATATTGAAAGTTGTAGTTCACAGATGATTAGGATAATTAGGATAGATTTGAATTGAAGTGTAATATCTAAAAGAGTTAAGGATATTTTTATCTGCCGAAAGATAGATTTGAATTGAAATGTAATATCTAAAAGAGATAAGGGTATTTTTGTCTACCGAAATATTTTTCCGAACTCATACTTTTAAAGAGAGTATATATATGTTATGATTAAATCATTTTGAAATAAACTTTAGTTGGAATGATTACAATAAATACATTCGAGAGGTGTTGTGGGTGGAAGTATTTGAGGAAATAAAGTGATGAAAATTCATGATTTACAATGCTCTATAAATTAAAATAATTAAATATAGTCTGACACAAAAATATTGGTTAACTTTTAGTACAAAATTACTTTATAAGCGAAATTCCATATTATAAGGTTGCTCAAAATTAGCCCTTCGGATCTAGCAAATACTTCGAATTTGGTAAATAATTTAAAATTGTCCTTTAAATGAGAAATATTTATACTTTACATATCAGAATAATTTTTTAATTTTAAAAATAAAATCAAAATTTTTAATTTATGTCTCTTAGACAAGACAGACAAAACAACGAGATTCCATTAGCTATTAAGAGATTGATTAGGAGAAGGATCTATTTCCATATTAAGGTTACATAGTGTAACACAAGCGAATGCACTAAGGACTACATAGTTATTAAAATTATTTATGATAATGTTGAAGATAAGAAACTGAGGGGGTGGGGGAGGGGGTTAGTCAAGTAGAATTTAAAATTAGAACTGTGATAATTTGTGCGATAGTTTTTTACAGTATTAATCAATTGAAACTAGAACTAGAATAAAATTATACAGTATTACAAGTAGAACAAGGATAACGATAAAACAAATTATCCCACTTTTATCAAATTTATATAGAAAAAAGTTTCTCAAATTGTCTCAAGTTTTAAACTAGAGCTAGGTGGTAAAAAAAACTAGAACTTTCTTATTTGAATTTTTTATTTTTTAATATTTCATTTGTCCATCATCTTTGAACCACGCCATAAGATTAGATCACATCTCTCTTCTTACACTTCTATTTAATGTTATTTTAATTTTTTATTAAATATTAGAATTGTATAATTACTTTAAATTTAAAGTTATAAATTTCATGTTTATTTATAAAATTAATTAAACTTGAGGGATGACGGAATGATGTCTAGCAGATCAAAAAGAAAGAGAAACAAAATGAAAAACTTTATTTCTAAATCTGTATTACAATAATGATTCCAAAAAAAGACAAAAAATTACAAAGTACTATAATAATAATATCTTATAGTATGTCCAATAGTTCTTCAAGATGAATTAACACTAAAGTAAATAATTATTATTATTAATGATAAATTTAAATATATATAAATAGTAGTTTTTTCATCAAATTACATAACTTATATGCTTCTTTACTATTAAAAATTATCCTTACTCAAACTAACAATAGTCCCACTAAAATATCATGTTTTAAAAAATAACTCACCCCACTTCAAAACATTACCCATACTAAACATTGTTCCCCTTCTAGCAAAAATACTCCAATTAGGTAACAGACCCTGAAGGAATTATTATTGCTAACTGATGGACAGATAAAAAATTTAATATTCCAAATAATTACACTTTTATATTTAAAAGTATATCATGTTTCTGTTATGCTAAGACTTATTTACTATTTTTGAAGGTGGAGAAATCACTCTATTAGCCTAGGTTAATTTATTGAGATGACAATTAATCCCTTGAATATACTCTAATTAGCATAGGTTTCTGAATGACAATTAATCCCTTGAATATATACTCCATACTTATCCACACCCGAAACTACTTCTGATAGAAAAAAAAAAGCAAAAAGCAGGTTTTTGATAAATTACATGTAGGTATACTTATTTTCAAAATTACATCATGTTTTTTTATTGTTCTAAGACGTATTTACTATATTGAAAGGGGGAGAAATCACTCGAATTGACTCAGGTTGATAGAAATGATAATCAATCGATTGAATATCCTCTAGACTTATCCATCCCTTATAACAACATCTGATAACAAATTAATGCAAAAAGAAAATTTTTGATAACTCACCTATTGCCATACTAGACTCTTTTGCGTTAAACACCCCATCTCCAACCAATAGCAAAACAAAGATAATTAGGTTGGATAGTAAATAACAGAGCACTATTTCAAAAAGAATATAAATATAAGTGCTATGTTATATTTACGTATTACATGTTTTACGTCATGCAGAATTGAATCTTGAACCTGCTGTTCCAACTTCCAAAAAGAAGATTACGACAGAGAAAAATGATTGAATATCAAGGGAATATTACTTAAATATTATACATGTTCTGAGTTGTCGAATGTTAGAAAACTTATTTATTAGATTTGAGACGTATGAGTTACGAATAATGTGTTCGAATATGAAGCACATTTAGATCTCTAATTACAGAGAGTTTGACTTTTATAAAATTTATGTCTTCTTTAGATTGTTCATTCGCTAGCAGAAAATGTGATACTGGATGTTAACTTTCTAAAATTGTTATATCTTATGTTGTTATTTAATGAGCTTCTATATACGAACTATACTTCTATTACTTATCTTTAACACGTATAAAACAAGACTTATTTGAGTGCATGCTGTGCATTGTTCTCCGATTGGAAATTATGCTCGCTATTGAGTACCTTAAAATAGTCAGTTCATTGGATGTTGAGAATTCAATTTACTTTTAAGTACATGTTGAGTCCCAAAAATGTCTAGTGCATGTAATTGTCTGGAACGGGCTAAAATACTAGAAGATAGGGATTGAAAGAGGCAAGTGTATTTTGAAGAGTCTTCTTATGAGCAATAGCTCGGAACATGGAGGTAAGATCGAAACATGGAGATAAAACCATGCTTAGTACGAGCTAAAATACTAGTAGAATTAATAACATAACAACAACCACCCCCCACCCCCAACAACAAAAAAAAAGACTTTGGGGNCCCCCCCCCCAAAAAAAAAAAAAAAAAAAAAACTTCTTTTATCTCACTAATCCCCTTGAAACTTAGGAGTTATTGCATATAACCCCCTAAACTTTGTGATTCCACTAAATTTCACAAACCTTCTCATTTAATCTTTAGATTAACAGTATCAATTATAACATCTTCTCATTTAATCTTTAGATTAACAGTATCAATTATAACATCTTCTCATTTAATCTTTAGATTAACAGTATCAATTATAACATCTCATGTGGCAAATATGTGCTAAGAAAAAGATGAAAATTATCCCTTAGTCCCCAAAGGTTACCTATTTTTCCTTTCAATAAAAGGGAATATTTTGAGGCTGAAGAAATTTTCGTCTTTTCTTTTTCTTTTTCAGGCATGTGCTTAGCTAGTGACATATTAGAGCGAATGGTGCTAATATGAGGATAAAATGAGAAATATTCAAGAAAGGTTTAGCAAAATAAAAAAGTTCAAGGGGGNTTCTTTTGAATAAATATTTCTTATGTAGTTCACCAAGTCAGCTATGCAGATAATGAATTGCAAGTCAAACTACTATAAATTGAATTTTTATTTTACATTAAACGGCTAATAGTCAAGGAGAAATATCTTGAAATTTTTACAAAACTTAAGCTTATTTACAAGGACTCGTAACTGCTTGTATATATTCTCACTCTCAGTATTCTTCAATTCTCTTCTCTTTAATAATCTTTCATCTGCAAAAAAATTAACAAAGATATTCAAATATTACTTGCTCCAGTAATAATATAAACAAGAAGAGCATTCTTCAGCAAACTCATCGCTGGCACTGGATTTACTCCGAGATACTTCATACAGAAAATAACAGATAGCTTGCCTCTGGTAACTGATCTCTCACATCAACAGACAAAAACCTTAGCTTCTCTTTGGAAAGGAAACTTCGAGGAGTTCCCAGAACTCGACAATCTGCACTCTCATTCCACTAGTTGCATGCGATTAGAGTACAAGGGAGTGTATAGAAAATAATAAAACCGGAGTCAAATCGTAGCCACAACAGTATTCATTGGCCAAAACCGAGTACCTTATATTAGAGCCGCTTAATTCTTTTGGAGTAACAATGCTAACAGAGTAGCATATAGTATATCATATCAAGAAATCTGTAGCTTGGCCCAAAAGTATTTACTATGGTGATAGGCTTGATCTTTCCTCAGTCACACAAATAGAAACCGCAGAATAGTCTTCTTATTTCCTTGCGCGTTGCTGTTTGTGGAAACACAAGCATTGAAAAGTCGAATGCAGGTGCAAAGAAGAACACGCAGATGATGACCAACCAATGGATTTCCAGCGAGTAGAGCATGGTCGTCCTGTTGAATTGCACAGTTGAAAGCTTTTAATTAATATATAATGATAGGGGACCAAAAGTAGGATGTATACAAACTTGACAGAGTGTTTGAAACAATGGCTCTTAGACTGAACGATTTGTCGTGTTATAGCTGGTGAAAAATCAGCCTTCCGAACTTAGCTTCTTTGTTGAAAAAGACTCGTAACTTCTAAGTCATTAAAAGGATATGCTTTTGGAAATAATATGTATATGTATACTCATATGGTAAGACCTCCTTAATAAATTATAAATCCATGCAACAGCAGAAAATCCATAAATACATTGTAGCAAAAGAACCGAAGTTGACATAACTGCACAGGTAGTGAATCTTACTGAGATCAAAGCAAAACATCAGAAAATGCATACCTTTGGATCATTGTTTTCTGTGGTGTCCGTTGGCTCGCAGTTAGGGTTCCAGAAGTAACAGCTAGATTGAAAACTGTCTGATGTATCAAAAGAGAAAAAAGAATCATTTGATAGTCGAAATGTAATGGCTGTAATTTGATAATAACTACTATATCTACACTATATTATATCCTACCGCTGATCCCAGGAGCACCATGCTTTCACTCACAGCCTGAAATGCAAAAACATCAGAAAATGTATGACTAACTAAAATCAAAGGAATCATGCCACACACCAATATGATGTTTATAAATAATTCAAACAACCGCAACAGAAGCCTCAAGTTCTTAGCAGGCTCCACAATAAGTTGTCCCTTGCAGGGGCTACATCTAATAAGCAAACTGAATGAATGAGAGATTTTTATACATTGCATGATTATTAATATGGTTGCTTGGGTAGTGACTGCAAAAATAAATAAATTGTTGATTGGAAGCCTACAGGAAACAAGCATTTCGAAGCTGGGAACCTAGATATGACTCAAAACAATCAAACGTGAAGTTATGTAGCCAACGAAGCAAAACTTTCAGTTCATGTAAAAATGAAATATCCATTGAAAGTTGAACTACCTAACAAGTCATGTAAAATAATACTCGTAGTCGTAGACCAAACATGCTTCATGAGGGATGTATTACTAAAGCATCACACACACTTTCACATTAAGTCAAAGTAAGACCTCTTATTGATTCACATAACTTGAGTTAATACTTAGATTGAGATATTAAGGTTGTTCTGGCAAAACAAAAATACATGACCTTGTTCGTAATTTAGCTCAATCACCAAATCAGGCAAGAAGTAGAACCCAATATTACCTGCAAAACAGTACATAAACAATCCATCTAGAATCCAGTAAAGTACCAGTTTATGGAATCAGCCAGTCAGGAGAAGAAAAATTGCATGAGGGGCATGGAGGGACAGGCTAATATGGCGTGGTCTTCAAAAGAACTAATATACATATTCAATATAATGATAATATAATTGGTACTCTTTATGTTGATGGATGGCAAGCAACCATTCCGCCACATTTTTATCCAAAGCTAAGAGGAGAGACATTATCTTTATAAAATTACACGAACAACCAAAACACAACATTAATGTTTATGCCAAATTCAAATTAGTAAGAAGCCATGGAAGATAAGATGAGAGGGGTGGTGAATAATGAGACATGGGAGTTGGTCCCTCTTTCTCACGGGAAGAACCAGTTAGATGTCCGTGGGTGTACACATCAAATTGAATCCTAATGGATCCCTGACTCAACTAGAGGCTCGAATAATAGTTAAAGAATGCTCTCAAAGATATGATGTTGAGTAACATGACACCTTTTCTGCTGGTACTTAGTGTATCAAGTTGTTTGCTTATTTTTGCTGTTTCCACTTATCAATAAAACCTTTTCTTCCAGAATCTTTTGACAAAGAGGTTATATGAAGCAACCGTCGACATTAATTGCTCAAAGAGAGTTGGAAAAGGTGTGTTAACTAAAGAAGTCATTATATGGTTTGAAACAGACTTCCAGGACTTGGTTTGGAAGAATTTCTATGATTGTGCAAGAGTTTCCGTCTGCACTGCACACAGAATGATCACTCTGCTTTCTTTAGGATTTATCAGAGGAAGAAGATCGTGAAAGTTGTTTATGTGGATGATACAGCTAGTACAAGAGATCATGAAAAATTAAAAGGTCTGAAGTTAGTATCTCTCCAAGTCTTGCTTTCAAAGGCATAAATATTAGGAGGAAGTAAATATGTACCGAGTTCAATTAGGGCCAAAACAAATCATGTAAAGAATAAAAGATAAGAGAATATGTTCCAACTGAAAATAAACAAACCATGTAAAGGGTAAAAGACAAGAAAATATGTTCCATTTGAAGAATATTTAGGCTGCAAAAAGGTAAGATGCCAGGGTTAAGGCTTGGCTAATATCTTGCACGTGGATAAGCAGGCATTCTTCCCTTCCTCTTCTCCTTCCGGTGGAAGGGAAAAAACAATAAATTTCTCACAAAAGAATTTTGTTCTGTTACAGATCTTCAATTCCTTTTCTGACTTTTGCAATGTTCATAGAAAGGCTAGCAAGAAAGTTTTTGCAATGACAGAACATAAAATAGTGAAGAACTCAACTTGAAATTCTTGATCTGGGATCTTTCTCTTGTTCTTCTCCTCCGGAAAAGAAACAGGAAGCAAAAAGATCCATCATAACTATAAGGCGAAGTTATGACATGATCTAAAAGAGAGAGAGAAGGTGAATGTATGAAAGAGCAATTTGTACATGTATATTTATTATGTTTTCTTTTTCTTGTCCATCCCAAGTCATAGAAGGTGAATGCAAGAAAGAGCAAATTTCAACATTGCTTAAATGTTGAACTTCTACCTGATGTGTTAACTTGGTGCTATGTTGTCTTAATAACTACAAATAGTTGAAAAGGGGGATCACATCTGAACTTGGTTGCAGGGACCTGAAATCTTGCAGAAATCGAAATCCATACAACCATGTGAAGTACCAATTGATTTATCAAAGAGCCACCAATCCTGCATAGAATTTAACCAAGAACCCAAATCACTAATGATAACCATAAGAATAGGGCTCAAAATAAATGAACATGAAGGAATGAAATGTACATGGCTAGTTGCAGATGAATACTCCCTCTCGTGGGGATCAAGATAAAATGTTTAACATGGTAATTTGATCAAAGAGTGATCACGAGGATTGGACAATGGAGCAACATTGTTGCTAAAGATTTTGATTTAAGGATGCTAATGATTTTGATTTAAGGATTGCCAATTGTGTTGAGACTTTCTTGATAGTTTTGAGTTATCAATCATGGGTATTATTGTATCCAATAAATCTTGGAGGCAGTCCCTATTGCTATTTCTCCATTGTTGTAAGCTAAAGTTGGAGGGCGTCAACTTCAATCGTTGGAATATTTAATCTTAATAGTGAAGATTGCTTAAATTTGGCATGTTGTTTTCCCCTATGCTGTGGAGAGTTTTCCGTGTAATATCCTGGTTTCACTCTTCTACTCATCTTCTACCTTTTTGCATTATTCTATCTATTAATCACTCAACGCAGTGATTGTTCCGCTTTGTTAAACAATAAAATCTCATTCATAGTTCAAAAGGTACAACTACTCCCCTTTATATAGGGATACAAAAACAAAAAGTTTATTGCGTGGTCAATGTGGGACTAAACACAATTACCTAATCATAATTATTCTCTTAGTTACAATGCTAATATCTCTCAATCACCAAATCTCTAATTTATACTCCTAATATAATTATAACATTATAGATCTCCATAATATATTCCTTAACACGTTTCAAATGCCAATAAGTGGTATTAGTGTTGTGCTTCTTTGGTTATTTGCCATATTTTGATTAGTGCAGTAGAGCGCAAGTACCATGATTGAAGCTTACTACCTCAAACTATTCTATTTTGTAAAAAAACATGCATGACTTATTTGATGTTGTTGAGGACACTAAATCCAGGAACCTGTATAAGAAAACTTGGAGTAAGCTTAATAAGAAGACAATTTGCATCATCCACCTATAGGTGGATAATAGTATATGTCAACATATGGCCATTGAGGCGGATGTAAAAAACTCTAGACAAAGCAGGAAAAAATCTATATGAAATGCTTTCATTATTAGAAAGCTTGTTGACTCAAAATTTATAGATGGACTCTCTTGCTGAGCATCTTAAAGAATTTCGGAGCTTGGTAAACCAGCTTAATACAATGAAGCTAGTAACAAAAGAGAAGCTTATGTACCCCTGAGTTGTTACCTTTTACAGTTGTGAGATGATGCAGAATTTGTTGAATGCACTTCCCTTAGCTATATCGCATGGAAGGAAAGTGAATAAATGTTGCGTGGTGCAATTAATTGACAAGTTAAAACTTAAATGCAACATGTCCATTGTATTTACCAAAGGGTAATAATGGTGGCTTTAAGCTAAAAGCAAACACTTCGGCTATATTTGTTCATTTGGGTATGAATTTATGCAACAAAAGCAAAACAAAGAACAATGTTCTTAAGAGTGCAAGTGCGAGGTTTCTGGAGAGGATAAAAATAAACAGGTTTAGGCTTTATCCTTGTGATTCAGATGGAATCTTTTCCATAATGTTGAGACTTTCCTTGTCACTTTTGGGTTACCAATGAGGTATTGTTGTATCCACTATATATTGAAGGATATTGGTCTCTATAGTCATTTCTCCATTAATGTAAGCTAAAGTTGGAGACATCAACTTTACCTGTTGTAATCTCTATTCTTAATAGCAGACATTTCTCGCATTTTCCCCCATGGTTTTTCCTTCTATGCTGGAGGGGTCTCCACGTTTTATATATTGGTGTCGCTCTTTCACTCATCTCCTACTTTTTTATACAATTTTATTTATTTCTATAACCACTCAATTCTATAATCACTCAAGGTGGATGGATCATTCGACATTAAACCAATCTTCTGATTAATAATCCGAAACAAAGAAAAGTCTTGATAATCAAAATTCCCTATGATGCATATAGAAAAGGTCTAAATTTTGCTCTGTACTATGTCGCACGGGTATGGGTATGAGTGTGGGTACCGGTGCGGGTACAAGTACGGGACATGGCGGGTACGGAGACACGGCTATATAAATATTTCTATACACATATATTAAATACTGAAATTAATAATTTATATGACCAGTGTTTTAAATAACGGCCGATAAATTGGTATATCCGTGATTTGTTGGTTTTGGAGGCCTTCCGCTATGATAAGTTCAATTTGGAATCGGTTATCGTTTGTAAATGTTTTTCGACGATAATACGACAATAAAGTGAGTTATCGGCCGATTTTGTCAGCCTAGATAATCAAAATTATCAGGCTTTAGTTTGGGTTGTAATTTCGAGTAACTGGCACTTATTCAATGGCCTTTAAACTTGATCTAACTCGACTTCACAATAAAATCAAAATCCGACCCTTAGTCCTTTGTCATCCGTTCTCTCTCCCCTTTGTGTGGTTGTGCCCTAACCCACCCCCCCATCGACTCCTGCTCTATGATCTCCATCAATCTCGCGCTCAGCTCCGCTCCGCTCCTCTCCTCTCCAGACTCCATTGATCTCGGCGCCCTCCTCCGCTCTCCAATCTCTCTGATCTCCATCGACTTTAATGCTAAGCTCTCTCAATCCACTTCAACCTCATAAACTTCGATCCTGACCTGTTCTGAATCTTCATCGACTTCGACGTTGAGCTCTCTCCATCGATGCCATAAGACATTGACTTTGACTTTGACTTTAACTTCAACTTCATCAACTCAAACTCTATCAACTTCAACATCAACTATAAGCACTATTATAAATAGCGATAAATAGCCCCGCAATAGCGACGCTAATAGCGTTAGCGGTCCCTTCCCGCGACGCTATCATCCGCTACGCTATCGCGCAATAGCAGTGACATATTGCAGAATATGTCTGTTCGTAAAAGCGGCCAATAGTGTGTCATAACAGTAAATAGTGAGCGATTGCATTCGAAATTTGCTTTTTGACTGCTATTTAAAAACGGTTTGAAGCTTCTTTTTTTAAAATTAAACTCAACCATTGACCATTGCATTCTACCGTCTCCTGTGATTTTCAGTATACTCCCGTCACCTCTCATAGCCTCTGCCACCTACCTTAATATTTCCTCTCACCTCCTTCATCGTGGGTCCGTAAGCTCCTCTTAGGACAGTCCTGTTACCGCTAAGCTCTTCTTCTCGAAGACGACGATTTTTTGACTCTTCCGGTCATCTTCGGTGTTACGTGATGTTTTTACATATTTATTTCATGTTTAGGATCTCTTTAAATCATCCAATATATACTTTTAGATTTCTTAGATTTTTCTTTAACTTTTTTTAGTGTTTATACATATCTGAATTAGACCGCTATTTGACTTTGCGCTTTTTACCGTTATTTTACCGTAATAGCCCGAAATAGCCTTAGCGATGCCTCACTGCTACGCGACGCTATCCGCTATCGATAACATTGACTATAAGTTTGTAACTTCGACTTGGACTCTCCATCGACGCCATCAACTCAGATCTTACTACATATCTCGATTTCAAGCATTGAAAAGCAAATGAAGTTGAAGCTGTAGAAGAAGGTAATATTGCATCAGGTTTATTGTTTCAAAACGACTTCAAGGTCATTGTTTTCGGGTCCCCCCCCCCCCTAAAGAACACTTATCCGTATACATTTTTTTCTTTAAAAGATTTTTGTACCTAAGTTTTGTGGATGTTAATTGTATCAGGTTTATTGTTTTAAAACGACTTCAAAGTCATTGTGTCCGGTTACTCTTTTTGAAGGTTATACACTCGAATGGTTTCATCGTGCGATCAAGAAGCAAATTTCTAGTTTCCACCATTGGTTAGTGATTCTAGATATGATTATTTACATTTTAGTATGTTTATATGTTATTAAGTATGGTTAAATTATATTTTAGGATATTATATTATGTATATACACCATCCGATATTTTACTCCGATAAATACCACTTATCCCTTATATATCCTCGATATATCTCCAATATCTGCTATCTAATAATAATGTTGTCCGTCTGATGAATCCCAATAACCGATATTTAAAACCTTGTATATGAGAACAAGGATGATAATTAAGATTCTTATAATAATTTTGTGTTTTTTTTATTATGCGGATTATAAATTGAAAAATCGTTAGTTTTTGAACTAGACATCCAACTGACCCTTCAAAATCATATTCGGAAGTTGACCAATGTCAAACGGGTTTCAAGAAGTGAAGTGTAAGATAAATGTCCAAAAAGTGCATGACAACTTGAGTACATGTCCAACTAAATATATATCCAATGAGTGTCCAAGGAGTTTGGGTAGAGCTAAGTGTATGTTTTCAGTATAGGTATAGCTTCATACTAGAGGTACCCAAGTAACATAGGCTCTCTATTTTTCTCTTCACCAAAAACCTGACAATTTGACTACATAATTTTATTCTTTGTTTTGCTTTTATTGCATAAACTCACCGAAATGAGATTATATATAGCCAAAATGTTTTATCTTTTGACTTAAACCCGCTATATAACTTTCTTGTCTATACAATGCACCCATTGCATTTACCATGTCAATCAATAGCCTCATACAAAACTTAATCACTTCTCATCAATGCAACACAGCAAAGAATGATGCCCTCAATAATTTGAGCACCTAGTCAGAAAAAGGAAGTGCGCTTTTACATTACAAAAGTGACAAGGTACCACCTAGTGAAAGAAGGAAGCAACAAAGTGCATAATGGGTTGAAATTGTTGAAATGTTTGACTTGTATTGAATTGAACATGGAAAGTAACCCACCTAGAATGGCTCGAAGAGTTGGTTAAAAAGGAAATACGGTGTGAGATCAGTGGGATAAGCCCAAGCATCAACCATGGAGATGATTGTATACATGGTTTAGATTATAATCAAAACTTCATATTGGTGTCGAACTTACTAATCAATCCACAATATGACATCTCTTAGCGAAATTCTTAAGCTTGCAGGTTTCGCTAGGCCTTCAGTTCACTGTGGTGAGGAATGACACTCTTAGTTTGTGTCCACTTGATAATAGGCACGGTAGTCTGCCAAAATACATATAAAAGAAGATTTACAAGCTGAATTGATCCGTCTAGGTAACCAGCAAAGAAACTACATTTTTGAGATTAGTCTCCATCATCGGCCCATGATGGAAACCAAAGGATTTATCCCCATAATTCCTCCCTATGAATTAGTGAGAGATTGCTTGGAATCAACCTCATAAAAGCCAATAAAGTACTTACGTTGAAATACAAGGGACATGGTGGTATTCGCCAAAACATGTATTGTGCATTCAGTTAATTACCAAAAGTAATCCAACTAGAGTAAATCCAATAGTTTAAAAGAGAAGGAAATTAGGTCTAAGAAACTATGAGGATATCGGGTATATTGTTAAACAAGATTATACTCCATTAAACATTATCCTTTTGAGTCAATTGTGTTCCGATCTTACAAACCAACTTATCTAGTTTTATCTCTTCTAGTTGGGCCTTAACAAAATTTTCAGTGGAGATTAAGGTTCAAGGTGTGGGTTAGAATAAAATAGATTATTGACACTACACATGAAAGATGAAGACAGCAGTATGCTGATCTTCAGTATGCTGATCGTCTGAATCATGGACAGCAAGGTTCTGATTTTAAAAGCTTAGGACATGAAAAGTTCGTGCTTAAAGAACTTTATAGTAGGCGGCTTCAACCATTATTTTAAAAATTGGTCCGGGCGTCCGTTTAGGCACCCGCCTAGGCCTAAGCGGTACTATGGCTGCCCACTTGATTTTTGAGAGCGCAAAGGCAAAACATGGGTTTCTTATGTGGACTCGCTGCGTCAAAAAAGAGTTTATTGCCTGCTTAAGCATAACTATAGGTCAAGTTAAGATAGATCAGAAAGAACTCTATCCAAGTTCATCTCAGATAAAATGATGAAGATAGGATTTTGAATCTTCCCGGTGCTAAGCAATGCCTAGGTCGCTTGGCACTATGTCCCGCACCTAGAAACCCCTAGCACTTTCTAAAACGTTGGCTTCAACAGAAGAAAAGCCAAGCCTATACCAGATTGCTCAACCAACACCGCCTCTCTCCATGACATCTCCAACCAAATCCAAATTACATCTTAAGCTTTAACCAATGTATAATCCCTAAAACCTGACTTAAACCCTGCTGAATCTAAGTAGAACAACATCAAAACTTAAAAATAAAAACTCCAATCCTGGCTTCTAAAACTAGCACAGCCCGTTGACAGTGAGCTGCACGAACTTCGAAAGATGGTTAAAATTCCAAAGAATATAATTGGTTCATAACCTGTGTTACTTGAAAACTAAATTACCAATTAACTTGTAGCTTGCAAAATCAGCAACGCCCCTGTCAATCATGATGACAGGGCCCTGAGGAAATTTGAAAGTTGATCTTCAAAGATGCTCATCTACTTTATAGTTTATACCTCATCTAGTATTTCTCAATGAGACTCTGACCAAACATCCATAAAAGATATCAGCATCGTCTACCAAAAAGGAAAGGAAGGAAAAAAGAAATTCAATACTACAAATTTTTTAGATTTCTGATTGAGAAGCCAAAGCAGAAAATCATAGATCTCTCTAAAGAACTCAGTGCCCACATTAGACTTTAAAAAAATATTCTAACATTTCCATTTTGGCTAAAGTTTGCATTATAAAGTTACTACAAGATTGTCAAAGGACTAAAGCTGTTGAATAGAAATATATTTACCAGTTGGTAGCAACATGAAAACTAGATTTCATTCCTACGTCAGGTAACATTAAAGGTAGATAGTCAAATAACATAGCTCCTGAAAGGGATATATATGTATTAGCTGTCAGCATAAATGAAAAGAAGAAAGGTATCAGCTCTTCTTGCCAGCATTGAAATGTTATTTTAACATAAATGTTTCCGATTTGTACTGGTAGGTATCTTAAAATCAACATAAGTAGTGGTAATTTCTTCTATGAGATGATAATGCATAAACCTTATGTCCAATGGCACTAGCAATGAATGCACAAACTTCTTATAAGAAATTCAGGTACTAGTACTTGCCAGATTGACACGAAAAAAGAAACTTGCTAAAAGTACCTCCGAGTATGCTACACTTCGATGAGAGTGGTAAAGCTCTCAGTCTCGAAGGCCAAGTTCAAGGTCATCATCTTCTTCAAAACAGCCTTAAGAGGTAGCCATGTTGCTCTTTCCTCTTCTTTTTCTGCCATAACTTAAATAGGACTATGGGCAGTACCACTACAGCAGCCACAAGAAGGTATATCAACAGTACATCAGACACAGTATTCTTAATACATTTGCAGGAGGCCTCAGGTTTGTGTCCGTCTTTGGAATTTGATGGATTATCACCTAAACCTGAGTAAAGTGGCAAAAGAAATACTTTATATTTAAACCAGGAAGAGAAGAAAGAAAAGACAGGCTACTAAAGGACGCTGTAGAACAAATTACTGTAAAAACCTAAATTTATCAGCTGAAACAGATCAAGATGTAGAAAAAATTACTAATTAAACCTCAATTTGTATTGCATGTAGTATACTATAGAAATTTGTAGTACAATGATTTAACTTGCATATAATGTACAACAGAGAATTGTTGTTATAAATCTCAGAAACTTCCTATTGGCTTACGAGCAACATCTATGAGCACCAGCCCCACGTTAAAATATCAATTTGTTCTTGTTATGTTTTTGATACTGCTAGAATCTAATATAGAAAACTAGAGGCCGTTTAACCTGATTAGAAGTTATTTTAACAGATTTTACATCCATGGGAAAAATGGCTTTATAACCCTTCAGAACATGTCCAGTACCTTATTGTCGTTTTGTAATAATTTTACCGAGTAAACAGCTAGACAAATAATACACGTAGGAATATGGCACATAAAATTTGCTTCATATTTATTTACAAACTTATGAAGCCTAAGATCTAGATCTATAAAACCCAAGTCAATTTACATTACCTAGCAACAGAAACAGTTGATGATATTCCTACTTAATAATGTTCTCATATGTGTAAATGGAGAAATATATAAACTAGTTATTCAGACTTTAAGGTCCATTGATTGATTTTATGGTTTGATTCAAGTATGATGATGGAAAAGCTGGTCTGACAACAGCAACAAGTGGTAAGTTTGCAAGATTAAAGTTATTAAGAGCAAGTTCAGGAGTTGAACTTGTTCTGAGCAAATAGAAAAACTGACAAGAAGTTTGAAGTCTGCATTTTGATATCCCAACATAAGACAATGTAAATGAACCAGCTTACCATCCACACTTCAATACAAACGTATATCATAAGAATTCCAGCTTCACTTAATTGATTTAAACTCTAAAATTGTGCATCAAATCACTCTCAAAATTCCAAGAAGAATAATTGAAAAATAATAAGATTCCAAAAGCTGGAATAGCTATCATGAATGACATGGCTAGACAATCACAATTTAAAGTGGATAATGTTAGACAATCAGCTAACAACAACCAAAATACTAATATGCTTAGAAAACGGCAAGGTGGTAAGACATGAAAAGGAACAAACAAGAAAACATAGATTGTATGGTCTCGATATGATGTTTTTCATGTTTAAAAAGGCACGACATTAAACAGGAGGATCACATAAGTGCATGGTTTCAAGTATAAGTCATCTGTATCACTTTTAGGCCTTTCCCAATAGGATTTTACAAGCCTTAAAGCAGTGAGCAAAAATCTTCATTAAATTTCAAAACATGTTTGTTACCCTCAGATAAGTTTAAATTTCAAACAATATCAAGTCCGTAATTTTCCTTGCAATAAATCCTAAAAGTTCAGAATGTAGATAGGAAAACCTATTTGATTCATCATGTAACTTAAGCTTGAAGGAACCAAGAAAAAACCCTTAAAAGTATCTGAGTAAGAAGCGCCTAAAGGAAAGGGTAATATATTTTCTGTACAAATGATGTTAAAAAATAAGTAAATAAATAAATAAATAGTTGCAAACAAAAACGCACGGGTAATGGATTTGCTACAGGGAATAATGCCCAAACAAAAAAAAAAACAAACGAAAACACATTTCCAAATGGTTAGAGGCACAACTATAGTAATAAATATTTGAGCAAAGAGTTGAGCAGTTCTTTAGAGGTTCAAGGTGAATGCAAGAAAGAGCAATTTGTACACATACATGTATATTTGTTATCTTTCCCCCTTTATTGTCCGTCCATAGTCATACAAATATGTAGCATGCCAGCAACCAGCCATTACCAGAAAAAGAGGACAATATCTAGGATCTGCTCTCCACCTCTTGCATTATTCCTATCATCAACAGAATCAAGTTAGTCTGCTTTTAATAAATGTGAAAACTTTTCAAAAAATGAATGAGATAAATCANGACTATTGATATAGGATGCTTTCATTAGCTCTTGGCTAGAGTGAGCCATCATTATGATCAGGTTCCTACTGAACCCCCAAATCCTCATTATCAGCATATCCAACATCTTGCATGTGCTGAAATAATCCCCCCAAAAGTATGTGGAGCTCAACTATACCCATATCCTTCATTACTGCCCTAACCTTCATCAATTGCTCCCAGTTACCACAATAAGCAAACATGTTAGCAATTAAAACATAATGATTTGGATCATCAGATGTCATCTCCAGAAGCCTCTTAGCTGCCCTCTCTCCTATCTCCTTGCTCCCATGGGCTCGGCATGCCCTTATGAGAGTTGCTAGTACTGCAGTGCTTGGTTCGAATGGCATTTGGTCAATGAATTCTTCTGCATTCCTTAATAATCCAGCTCTCCCAAAGAGATCAACCATACAAGAATAATGCTCCATTTGAGGTGATATTCCATAGAAAACATTCATTTTCCAAAATAGAGTTTCACCTTCGGTAATCATGCCAGAATGGCTACAAGCTGAGAGGATTGCCACCATAGTAAAGCCATCCGGCATAATCCCACAAGAAATCATCTTGTCAAAGAGGTCCAATGCCTTCATCCCCTCCCCTTGAATTCCATATCCAGCAATCATAGAAGTGTAGGATACTCCATCACAGTCACTCATCATGTCAAAGACTTTCTCCGCAACCCTAATCCTTCCCAGCTTAGAGTACATGTCAATCAGAGAGTTGCACAATAACTGGTAGCTGCTGTGCATGTGCTTGATTATGTAGCAGTGGAGTTCTCGTCCATACTGGAGATTTGTGGCGCGTGTGCAGAGAGAGAAAATTATCATTGCTGTCACATAATTTGGCTGAATTTGGGACCTGATCATTTCTTGAAAAGTTGCAAATGTTTCTTCTTCTTGATCTCCAAATGCAAACCCTGCAATCATTGCATTCCAAGTGATCAAACTCTTATATGTTTTCATTCCAAACAGAAGATGAGCAACTTCTACTTGCTTGCATCTTGAATACATTGTGATCAAAGCATTACTAACATTCTCAAGCTCATTATAGTGGAGACGGAGAGCCAATCCATGAATCTCCTTACCCAGTCTCAGAAACCCAATTTTAGAGCACGAGTTTAGTCCAATAACCAATGATGCAGAATCTATAGATGAATCTATGATTCTCATCTTAGATATCAATTCAAGTGCTTCCAAGTGTCTGCCCATCTGCAAATTTGCTGTAGCAATAGTATTCCAAGTGACAGTGTTTGTTTTAGATTCCTCCAATTGCATCTTCTCCAGCAAATCAAGAGATTCTACACACATCCCCTTTGAAGAATACCCTGAGATCAAAGAGTTCCAAGTAACTGTATCTTTTTGAGGCATATAATCGAACAATTGCCTTGCAACTTTCATCATACCACACTTAGCATACATTGAAATCAAAGCATTGCAAATGAAAAGATCATGTTGCAAACCTCTAATTACTATGCTTCCATGAATTGCTCTCCCCAAATCCAAGACCAGAATCTCACTGCAAGCCCTTAGAATTGATGGGAAGGCAAACTTATCAACCTCACAACCCCTTTCAACCATTTTTTTGTAGGCTAAAACTGCATCCGGCCAAAATCCATTCTGGGCATATGCGGAGATTAGAAGATTCCAGGGCAAGGCATGCTTGGTGCTTGAATCTTCTACTATGGTTTTGGCATCAGAGATTAGGCTGACAGTAGAGTAAAAGGAGGACAACCTGGAAATAAGAAAAGAGTTTCCATGGAGACCAAGGAATATTATTTGAGCATGAAGTTGTTTTCCCTGTGGAAGGGCTTTGAGATTGGTTGCCACAGAGAGGAGAGAAGAGATGGGATGGAGAAAAATAATGGAGGAAGAGGTGCGGTGTTGAAGGACAGAAAAGGACTTGAAGGCTTCGGAGATTTGGCCTTCCATTGAGAGGGACCGGATGGAACCTATAAGCAAAAGGATTTGATGGTTAGTGGGATATCTGAATTTTTCATTTTCCACTTTTCTCCTAGGAAAATTGGAAGGGGTTAAGGTCACAGACTCTTTCCATGATCTTATGATGTAGCTTTGTATTTGTGAAAGGTTGTTTTTTGAACTGATGACAGCAGAGGGGACTGAAAGAGATGTCTTCTTCTGCTGTTTGAGATAATCAGTGAGATCTATACAATCTTGTTGCTTTCCAAGACCAGGAAAATTTGTCTTTGTGCCTGGAATGCACTGCAAACAAAATAAAAGTTGCGCTTCAAAACTGATTCATGATAAGTTGTATATAAAATAAAAGATTAATCTGAGTTGGTAATGATAGAAACAGGGTACCAAAACAAACTTGATAGTAAAAAAAGGGAAAGTATACATGCTGTAGTTTATCACAGCCTTTTATTTTTCTACATGATTAGTTGCAGCCATGTGTCTACAGGTTTGAGCTTCTATTTCAAATATCTACACACAAATAACTAATACTTAACTTTAACCCATCAGTATGATGATACTTGATCTGGATAGAGCTATAAGAGATTACTATACACAATGTAGCTTCATTGGAGGAACACATTAAGTGAAAGGTCTTAGGTGGATATTCGCCTACAGAAGGATTTGTATGTCCAACATGGACGGGAGATGACATTGTTCTCCCATGGCCAGCGCTTAAAAATGCCTGAACCTTTGTTCACTTCACAAATGTTTATAAGGTGAGATATTATGTGCCCACTTTTGACAAAAACTAAGCATTTAATAGGTTATTTTACTTTACCTTAGGAATACAAACTGCACACATAAGTTTTATGAATACCTTTATTTTACTAAGTATTTCATAGGCTATTTTACTTCACCTTTATTCACTTCTCATGAGACAAATACACATGTTAAACAAAATATGCTTATACATATATTCACTTACCTCGTCTGGAATTTAGATGTGTAGTATCTCATTCATAAACTCATACGTTGTGCATGGAATGTAAATGATTATTTGATTTCTAATGATCAGAAGGATTCTATAACAAGGATGACAAGATGGGCAAAATTTAGTACATAACTGCATTAAACAATAAGAGTAATTGAGTGTGAATAAAGGTTCTATGTTGAAGAGATATAACTGAAGGCAAACATTTGGGTATATGTTGTAAGCTAAGTAGCATGGACATGGACATGAGTGCAACCGTACATGGAACATGGTAATTCCACAAAAGCAAGAGACAGATAGAAAGATGTGGCACATGACATTAGAAAATATAATAATGAAGTCTGTATATGCTTGCATGCAAGAGTCTGTACATTGGTTTGTCTTTCTGAAAACATAGAACATTTAACAGTCACGTATATGCCAAAGTTTTGATTTACCATGCCGTTTTATGCTTCTCAAAAGGAATAGGATTCGACTCTTGAATATAGAATAGCTAGACACATTTAAACTTATCATAGTTTTATACAAGTTTTGATGATTTCCCCACTAAAGTAGTATTATTTAGTGTAAAAATAAAACTAGATAAACAATAGGTGTTCTAACTAAAAACATGAATTACATAATTACTGGAAAATTGGTTTCAACAATCAGATGTCGGCAGGAACAATGGATAAACTTTCACCATAATTACCGGAAAAAGTGATAGGATTTCGCTTCTCCATCAAGTTTTTCAAATTTCCCTTTGGCAACTCCCTCTGGACTAAATAACACTAGATGTGGAACTTGAATCCAAATCTAATTAATTGCATTAACTAATCTACGTGCGTCGCTTACATCTTTCATTATATAATACGAAAAGAAAGCACTTGTAAGAGAATCTTTCGCCCTATATTTCTAAGCAATTGAATAACCACAAGCCAGTTAAACTGTGGATATATAATTGGACTGAACAGGTGCTCCGGCAGGTGCTCCAGCAGCG